GGAGAAGCTACCTATATTCTAGGGATAAGGATTCTGAGAGACCGGAGAAAAAGACTAATTGGACTTAGTCAGAGTACCTACTTGGATAAGGTGCTGAAGAGGTTCAACATGCAAGACTCCAAGAAAAGAGAGTTACCCATCGAGAGTAACGTTAGATTGAGTAAGACTCAGAGCCCGAGTACCGAGGTTGAGATAGCATAAATGAGTCGAGTACCTTATGCTTCTGTAGTAGGCTCGATCATGTATGCTATGACCTGCACTCGTCATGATGTAGCCTTTGCTTTGAGCATGGTTAGCAGGTATTAGGGGAACCCTGGTAAGGCTCACTGGACTGTGGTAAAGAATATCCTCAAGTACATGCGGAGGACTAAGGACTGGGTCCTTACCCTCGGTGGGAGTGATGAATTGAGAGTTGTAGGGTATAGTGACGCTAGCTTCCAGACTCATAGGGATAATTTCCACTCTCAGTCGGGCTGGGTCTTTACCTTAAACGGAGGAGCGATTACTTGGAAAAGTTCCAAGCAGGAGACAGTGGTTGATTGAACTTGCGAATCAGAGTATATAGCAGCAAGCGAGGCAGCAAAGGAGGCTATATGGCTAAAGAACTTCATTGGAGACCTTGAAGTTGTACCAGCTATAAGGGAGCATATATAGATTTTCTGTGATAGTGAAAGCGCAGTTGCCTTAGCAAAGGAACCAAGGGATCACGGGAGATCCAGACGCATTGACATAAAATATCATTTCATCAGACATCGTATACAAGAAGGACTCCTCGTGGCAAAGAGGGTATTATTGGATGAGAACCCGGGTAGGGTTAAGCATCTTCAGCACGCAAGGAGCATAGGGCTGAAGGATGATATTAGTTTTAGTAGTTAGATAACTTTGAAATTTGTAAAGTGTAATTGACATTTGATGATGAATAAAAGCTGTGTTTATTTATGAGTAAAGTGTTGCTATCTTTTGTCAATCGTTTACTATTATTTCTTTTGAATGTTTTGACTTCCATAATATTTATGTTGTGTTTTACATATTATTCAAATTATCCACAGTCGGTCATATGTTGGAGGTAGATATGAATTAGGACTGTCATGAGTTGGTTGTAGAGGTCTAATATGTTGGATATGGCCTCAACACTCATGAGTGCTCATAAGTTCTGAGTATTGGATTCAACCCACGCTCGCTGGTATCACTTCATGGAATTTATCTTGAGTGATCGCGAGACGGTAATATCATATAAGTCTTCGAACCTAGAGATATGTCTTATTGCCTATGAGTTGGTTATGCATTGACCGTACGAAAACACATTGGTAACTCGATGTTATAAAACGTACTGTTGTGTGTGATTCAACAAGTAGTAGAACAAGCATATGAGTGTAAGTTTCTCTGTTCCTTCTTGGATTAGAAGCGATATCTGGGCCCCTCGATGATTTTGTTTTGACCTATGTACCGGGCCCGGTCAGAACTAAGTTGATGTGTTTAATTAAGTTCTATGTCAAACAAATCGGAAATCGGGAAACAAACTGCTGGACAAAAGTAAGACATTGTTCCATGTAATTTTCCGGCTGATATCTAGAACAGAGGATTATATGATCACTTATCTTAAATGGCGTACCATCATCTTCTCAGTTCCGAGAGACCTTGAAAAGAGCTACGATTGCTGATCGGTTCCTGAAGTTATACTTGCAGTTATAGTTATTAGACTTATCCAAGTGGGAGACTGTTGGATAAGGTGTCTAAGTCCATAACTATTTCTGGTATGTACTTGACCCGACCCGGCATGGTCCATTTGGGTTACATGGCATCATGCATTTGGATAGACTAAATGAGAGAAATAACACTTGTGGTTTATTAATATATTATAAGTTCTAATATATTAATAGTATTATTTAATTAGTATTGATTAAGAATTAATTTGGAATTAATTAAGTGATCAAAAGATGACTAATTAAATATATGGGTTGATTATGTAAATCATCCATAACTTGTATAGTGGGCTAAAAGGCTCCATGGATTATCAAGTTGGGTTAAACCCATAGGATGCTCCATAGAGGCTCCATGGGAGTTACAAACCCATGGGTCATGGAACTGAAGAGTCATGTCACATTAGGGTTTACATGGTGTAACCCTAGATGTGACACACTATATAAGGAACATGATACTCACCAAAATCGGCTACACTAAGAACAAGAGAGGGCAAGCCGATTTTTACAAGTGTTATACATTCTCTAAACTTATTCCAAAGCATTTGGTGTTGTGTGAAGCATTTGAGGCATCACACTTGGGGTGCTAGGCTCTCAAGGTTTTCAAGGAATCAAATCAACTACAAGATATGTAATTCTAGCCATCTTTTATGTTAAAAGTTCCCCATGTATGCTAGATAGGATTATGAACCTTGGAAATCATATTTTGCATGTATTTTAGACAAACATAGATCCAAGGTTTTCTAGGGTTGCATGTACACTTAGGAGTGTTAGAATGCTCAAAACACATCAACTTTATCATCTTGCACATAAAATGCTTCAGAAATCACATAAATATAATTCTGAATATATTTAGAATTCTGCATGAAAACAGAAATCTGACCTTGTTGCTTTTCTAGATCCTTCGATCCACTTGGTCCAGCACCATCCTTGTTCACTTTAAGAAGACGAAAATCTTTCTTGAAGTGACCCGGTTTGTTACAATTCCAACAAACCAACTTAGCGTTCTTATTGGAAGACTTGTCATCCTTTCCTTTAAACTTCATTTTTCCATTAGACTTTTTGGGATTCTTTGAACTTTCTCCTTCCACCATGTTCACAGAAGAGGAACCAACTTGGTTCTTGCCTTTAGGATTGTTATCAAGTTCTTGAGTCCTTATGGACTCTTCAATCCTTAAATGGCTTCCAAGTTGAGTCAATGTCAATTCTTCTTTGTTATGTTTCAGATTGTGTTTAAAATCCGTCCAGGAAGGGGGCAGTTTGTCAATGATCACAACCACAGAAATGGCTTCATCCATTTTCAGATTGTGTTGAGCAAACTGTCCCAAAATCCTTAAGATTTCATGGAATTGTTCCGTAACAGGCCTGGAGTCAATCATCTTGTAACCCATAAAGTTACTAACAATAAACTTCTTACTAGAAGCATCTTCAGCCATGTACTTGGATTCAAGAGAATCCCACAGTTCTTTTGCAGATTCGAAATTTTGATAGATATCAAAAAGAAAGTCAAACATACCATTGAGAATATGACCACGACATCTGTAATCATCATTTTCCCACTTTATCTTCTTCTTGTTGCCTCCAAATGTTCATCTTCAACAGATTCTGGTAAGACTGGCATAGGTGTACTCAGAACATACACCACTTTCAGAGTGGTAAGGAGAAACTTCATCTTCTTCTGCCATTTACGAAAAACTTGCCCTTCAAACTTGTTCAGTTTTTCAAACTTACTTGTCATTTCCTTCACAGAATCACCACTTGCCATGATCACAAAAATACTTTAATCTTTGTAAGAAACTCGAGATAAAATAGTCTTGGAAATTCTGAGAATTGTGGTTTCACTTTCAGATTAAAGTATTTGTGTGGTACTCCCAATCTTTAATCGGATAAGACTCAGAGAGACAAGAACAAAGAATGTTTGATGATATTTTCGTACGTACCAGAATTGAGACCAAAAACCAACTTTAAGATATTTGTCTGAAAACTGTCATATGACAGTTTTAAAATGTCATAAAACTATAAAAACTGTCATAAAAAACGGATATATGGATAAGGGTCAAACCAATGGTCAATTATCTGAAAAATCAATTGTCTGAAAAATCAGCTCGACCCCAGCCAGGGGCTCTGCCCCTTGGACCCCGCCAGGGGCTGCCACCCCTTGGACCCCGCTCCCACGGGCGCTGCCCCCGGACCCCTGTTCATTTAGGGGCTTCGCCCCTAAATGACAACGTACTTTGAAACTTGATCAAACTTAAACAAGTGTGTACTCCACACATTCCTTACTTGTTTAATATTTATCAATATCACTTTTGATCAACAAAGTAATCCCATTACACTTAAATAACATTGATGATAACAGATCACCAACATCCTAGTCGTTGGATTATCGCTTAAATTGACAGATGGGGTTGAAATGACGCGGATCGCCAACATAAGCCTTTAGCGGCGACAAACACATTTAGCGGTGACAAAAAATGAGTTTGTTTGTTGTCGCCGCTAAAAGTGTCCGTCGCCGTTATTGCCTGTTATTCTTGTAGTGAATGAGTGTTAAAACATAGGTAAAAAATAAAAATGGATTAAGTTAAATGGTGAATTAGGGTTTAACTCCTAAAATAAAAATGGATTAAGTTAAATGGTGAATTAGGGTTTAACTCTTGGGATAGGTATAGGCGAATATGTGGTCCCTGGAGTTTGGGGTTTTAGTGGGTATATAATGTGGCAATGAGTTAGAGGGGGATGAGGTCGAAAGTGAAGATATTGTTGCTTACTAGGCTTCTAAGCCTAACTACTATTTTTGTTGTGTCTTGGAAAGTGAAAAATGGGTGATGATATGGTTGAAATGCATGTCTAAAGAGCTTGTGGACATTTTATATTCCTCGTGGGAACATCCTTGGAGTGTATTTAAATATTAATGTAAAAGGTGAACAAAAGGTGTTCACCTGTTGGGCTAATATGTTTTTTTCCCATAAAATACTTTCCAAAACTTTCTCAATTAGTTGTACGTTCTATATTAAACAAAAGAAAACACTAAAATACATATAGCTTATTGAATTAACTCTATTCTCATTAAGTAGAAAAGAAGCATCACACATAAGTTTCGGAATGATTTTATGGGATGCTTTCTTTGATTAAAGGTGTACATATTTCTTAATGGAGAAATTAACCTTTTTTGTATAAACAAGGGCAGCTTAGGAAAGTATGTACAATATCTCAAGTTCCGGCCTTAACATCATTTGCAAAAACATCAATAAAAGGAACGCATCCAGAAATTAACCTTTTTCATTTCAAACGCATTAATGCTCATAAATTAAAGGGAATGTTTAACATATCTTGTATGTTCCTTTTTTGTATAAACAACGGCAGCTTGTGAAACAAAGAATAAGAAAAAAAAATGCCAGACCCCTGAAGGTGTATTCTGGGTATTAATTGAGCAAATTATCATCTTGGTTGTGCTTGGCCATGGAGAGGGTGAAGTATATCAGTAGGAAAGTTCCCATGCTTGACCTGTCAAAATTGAATGGATTAATTGCAATAAAAAACAACGAACTAAAATTTTTTGTTGAATAAAACATTATACTTTCATTGTTTTTCTATTACAAACATGTTTGATAACATATTAAGTTATAATAATATCATTCAAATACAAACAAGTTTCATCGACATAATTAAATATATTTTTTAAATTCTAGTGGCATAAACCTTAAGATATTGTGTTTTGAAAGTATAGTATGTCAGCAAAAAATAGAATTAAAAAATATAACGTCGTATTCATATAAGATTTAAAGTGAAATGTTCTATAATTCGGTAGATATTGAAAAGTGTTAATAAACAAAATCTCAAAGTATGATATTAAACAAATAAATAAAAGACGTAGTTGTTTCTTGAAGTTTGTGCGATTGTATTATTGTATTTAGTTTTTTTTATGTCATTGGTGACAGATATGATCTGTTGTTTTCTTAGTTAAACTGTTCAATTTGCAACTCAATTTGGCTTATTTCCATTTTCAATGGTCCCTGCTAATCCCCACGATAATAACATTATATGGGGAAATTCTAAATTATGCATCAGAACAATAACACATGTGCGACTTTTAATGCGAAAAATACAAATGTATAATACGCTATCAAACAATTCCCATGTCGATAGACATATGTGACAAATGATGTTTTACTATTATTGCATAAAGTACAAGTTAATAACATGCTGTCGAACAATTGTCTTGCCCATATATCACCCTTAAGTCAACTTGACGGTCGTCAAGTCATGTGATACTGTTATGCATGAGGTATAATGATATACCCTATCAACATTTCTCTTGGCCATAGGAAATCGGGACAAATCATGTATTGCTTTTGATGCATAAGGTACAAATGAGAAATGTTCTATCGAAGAGAAATTCCCTATCGATCAACTTCCATGTACACAAATCATGTGCTACTTTTAATGCAAAGGGACAAGCGGGAAATGCCCTATCTAACGATTCCTAGGCATACGAGATGAATCATGTACTACTCCTACGGCATAACGTACAAGTGAATAATGCATATTATGGGTCAATGTGAATACACATGTGGGGACAAATTATATTTTTGTTTTGTGGGGACAAATTATACACATGTGGATATGTGTAACAGTGCAAGCATACAAATAACATTTTTGTTTTATGGGATGTTCATAAATGATGTAATTATTAAAACAAAGACAAGGAGAAGGTCGTTCTCACAATGTAGCAAAGAAGAAAAGGATTCTTCTAGGACTGATGATTGATGTTTGTTTGAAACTATTCGATCTTTTTCCGATGAGTCTGCTTCTGGTTGGTGTGTCGCTGGCGGCAGTGGTGTTGCCGCCAGTCCCGATGCTAATTTGGTGGTGGAGTTGTTGCTCGGTTGCCACAACCAACACTGGTGTAGATTTTTCGGACATTGTGTCAACTGTTAAATAATAAAAATAAAAACAACGTTAAATATATATGAAATAATAAAATCGTAAAGTAAACCAACTTTTCCACCGGAAACGTAGCAAATAATTCAATGTGCATGTGCAACCGAGATTCCAATTATCTGGATAGGAACAAAAAGGAATTGAAGATCTTCTTAACTTTCTTTCCTCTGTTAGTAGAAGATACCTTTTTGTATTTTAATTGTTATGACTCATTAAAATAGCTTTAACAGTATTCTTAAGTTGTAATGAGTTGTTATTTTTGTAGTTATATAATTCTCAGTTGACACGTATAATCAACTATAGAGATTTAATTATAAATTAATTAGTAATAAAATCATATTTATGTGCATATCAATATCTTCTTTAAAAATCTTATAAGTGTACAGTATTCTTAAGTTGTAATGAGTTGTTATTTTTGTAGTTATATAATTCTCAGTTGACACGTATAATCAACTATAGAGATTTAATTATAAATTAATTAGTAATAAAATCATATTTATGTGCATATCAATATCTTCTTTAAAAATCTTATAAGTGTCATTACGTAAGTTTTTCTATTGGTTAATCAATCTACATCAATATAATTATTTTATTTGAGTAGGTAAACTAACAAGAAAGTCCACCCACCTTATATTTGTTGTAACAATTATGAAGGTAAATTTATATTATATGAAAAGAATATAATTAACTGCATGGGTTACTAATTTTTTGTGCAATAGTTTTAAATTTTTAATGGTCAAGAAAAACTATGATCACACAAATTCGATTATTAATTACTTAATTATAAACTGTTATGGAAAAAATATATTTGACGGATCAATTCAATTATCTTTAATATAATATATAATTGAACTTTTTTATTCGTAAGTTACTAATCTATTTTATCATATGTGATTAGAGAAAACTAAAATATGTTATAAAAAGGAAAAATAAGGAGTGACCTTTGGGCGAAGAACTACCATCTCTTTCATTGTCAACGCTTTCCGCAATTTGTGATCCTTTTCTTGATAAACTTCTTTGCAACTAATAATTATGAAAATAAAATAATTAACTGCATTGGTCAAAAAATATAAATAATAGTAATTAATAATATAATAAAACAAACAAATAATTTAGTAGCACGTTTACTGTTATTTTCAAAAAAAAAAAATCTTGTTTTCTTTGGAAAGAAAACAAAAAAAAGAGAAAAAAAAAAGCTAACCTTAAATAAAACCATATAACGTATAGTGTGACATAAAAACTGTTTTTTCATTTACGATGATCGTAATGTATAATAAATCCAATAACCATTACATTCTATTAGGATATAAATTCTCTTGTTTTGATGACAAAAGTTTAAATGTTTTTGAAGAGATAAAAAGTGCATTTTAAATAAAAGGAATACATAATACACAATAAACGGAGTCGTATATTTTTACATAAATACCCTTGTTCTAATGGATTCTTGTTTACAAACTTAAAAGGAAGAAAATTAGATATAGAAACTAAAAATAAAAACTAAACTTACATTAAATCTTGGATTGTAGTTCGTGAGATGAGAGAAAGGTTCCATATCCACTCGAAAGCTATCACCTTTCATGTTCAAAATCTCATCACAAACTGATATTTTCTGGGTACCCTTCTCATAAGGGCATATATATCCACATTCCATTGACTCCATTAAAGTCAACCTTGACTATCCAATTGGACACCTTCTTTTCTTTGATCTGTAAAGAGATTATCACCAAAAACAGATTAACCTTAATTTTGATATCAAACAAAGACTCGACCAATCTCTTTGATAATATTCAAGAATCTGATGAATGTTTAGACAATTACTTGTGAATTCTACAAAAGAAAGAAACAAAAATCAAAACCCATGATTCTTTTCTTCATCTTGATGATTACCCACCTTCTGTTTAAGACTATAGAGTGCTTGCAATCGATATATAGTTATCACAGTAGTGGTGGTGGCTTGTGGCACGGTAGAGACGGTGGAGTAATTCCAAGGAGGATTTAGGAGAGAGAAGAGCGTGTGGGAATTGGGGTTGGAGTTGGGGAAGAGAGATGAAGTTATGTGTCATATAAGATGTTTGGTTGCATATGGATGTTTTATGTTTTTTTGGGCTTACAGTTATGGTCATGATGAGTTGCTTTTGTTTTTTATAGTATTTGTTTATACCTTAGAAATTATTGATACTTGAGGAATAATGTTTTTTAATATATTACGATAATAAATTATATATACAGGGTTAATTACAAAAATGATCATATGAAATGTTGATTTATCTTGGTGTATCTTCAGCATAAAGTTTTTAGCAGTTTTTATATATTAGGTTTTAAGAAAAGTATTCGGAAAAAAAAATAAAAAATACTTTGTTCGCTAGTAAAAGTTTTTAGTTTTATTTAAGAAAAAAAAATCATAATCAAATCAAAATGTATTTTAAGAAAAAACGCCTATATATTATATAATATTTACAATTCTACTTCTAAAAATATATTTCTATATTTATCTTTTATAAAACATTGCCATTTTATGTAATTTTATACGGTTCAAAAGTTTGCTACTATTAGATTCCAACTGACAACAACCAATTATCATATTCCAACTATCAACTAACAGCTACTAGCTTACAACTATAATCTATCAGTTTTAAATTATCAGCTATCAGCTTCCATCTAGTTTTGTCTAACACATCGTAATATAACCAATTTTTTAGGTCGTAAAAATGAGTGTCATCTCTACTGGTCCATTTTTTAGTAACATGGCTTTGTGTTGAACAACTAAAAAACAATTGAGACGAGAAAGAAAAATCCAATAATATAACACTATAAACAAATATACATTTTTACATTTTCGACATCAGTGTCTAACATTTTCGTAAATATCAAGACGTCATTCAAACCTATTGTAACACCTTATTCCCGATGGAAAATTTCCCTTCTTTAATCGAGGGTTTAATAGTCCAAAGTAAAGTAGAAGGATGGGGTGAAACAGGAAGTTATTAATCACATTTGCTGGAAATTGAGAAATCTGGAAAATTCTGGTTGGGCTGGCACACTCTTTAGGAAGCGTGACGCGCTTTCGGCTTAGTGGATTGTTCATTATTTTAGGGGTTGGGGCTTATTTGAAGGTCATTAACCTTTGGGGTGGGATCATTCTCAGCCTCCGACACCCCCAGATCATTCCTTGAGAAACGCTAGCCTCATTTCTCTTCTTGGTGATTTTGGAGCTTTGATGCATTGTTCTTCCGTTTTTGGTGTTCTTGAGTAATGAAAACAAGAAAGCTTAACCTTGGGAGCTTGGTTTCTAAAGTGTGCAACTTTCATTCAGGTTTTGGAACTTGATTACTCATAAAGATCCTTGCTTTATGACGTTTTCTCTTTGGATCTATGAACTATACAAGTAAATGGTTCCTTTTAGCAAGTTTTGGTCCTTTATTGGCTTGTTCCTTGGAGTTTGGAGCAATTTCAAATATTTTTGATGATAATGGTATATGGATTTAGCATTGGATTGTAGATTTCATGCACGATAGGGCCCTTCAAGCTCCATGCAAGTTGATAAGTGCATTTTGGGAGATTTTGATGAATTAGGGTTTGAGATCTTGGTTGTTTTGGACTAACAAAATGGATAAAGTTGTAAACTTTATTAATTAAGACATCTTAGAGATTCAGATATGAAAGTTGTGGTTCTTGGCTTTATGGTTTATGACTTTTAAACATTGTTGGGAATTGGATTGTTACTGGAGCGATGCGCTTCTGTAAGGCATGTCGTGCTTCTAGTAAAAATTGTCCTGAACCTGACTATCTTGCCCTTTAGTGAACCATGGGGTGTTTGGATGGAGCGGCGCGCTTCTCTAGAGTGCGACACACCTGGTCAAAGTCAAAGTTTGACAATTGATTGTTGACTTTTGGCAAGGTTTGTCTTTGGGTTAAACTTTAGGGTTTTTGGTGTAGATTGAGGTTTAGTCTTTATAGGTGTGCAGGCAGTTCGTGGGTCTGATTTCTGCCAGAATTTAAGTGTGTGGCTGTGATTTCTCATATTTCTATGTAGATGAGTCTCCTTACTATACTATGTGTTATACTATATGCCCTTGTATGGCAGGACGTAGAGGAGTGATGGTATACAATTAGGGTGAGCAAGATTGTATAGCCTTTTATATGATGTTATGATGGTTTTAGTGTAGATAATATTGGTTATCGTCTATTGAATGTATAGGGGTTGTATGTAGTCAAAGAAGATAATTTAAGAACTCTTGATTTAGGACTCATTGCTTGTTCCTTGATTGGTTGCGGCTTTAGGGTGGATCATATGTTTGACTGTCTACCATATCTCTAATTACATACAATTATGCATTAATATGCTTGAATGTGATTAGGTTGTTTATATGTTGTTAGGCAGGTATACTAGTTTAGGCAGTTGACGGTGTTGTTGGATTATTGTTGATGCTCTGTTATTATATATACATATATATATATATATATATATATATATATATACATATATATATATATATATATATATATATATATATATATATATATATACATATGTTGACATATTTTGTTATGAGTTGGGGGTGGCCCAACCATGTGCTAGAGGCCAATAGACTGGAGGTTGACCAATTTTATGCTGAAAGTCGGGCAGACCAGCTTTGTGCCGAAGGCTGAGCGTAGGGGAGGACCAACTCTATAGTAAAGGACGATATGTGTATGCTCTGGATTAGGTGTCTAAGCCTATCATTATAATTGGTATATACTTGAATTGATAGTAGCACAGTCCTTTTGGGTTGCCCTCTATGACAACCCGAAACTTTGTCCGTTTCCGTTACGCGATCTCCGTTAATAAAATTTCGAATTCATTAACTTTTCTGTCAAACTTCTTGGTTTAGGAAATAATCTAGTTGTATATAATTATATTATTTGTGAGTCGGAACCAAAAATCGCACAGAAACCCGAATATCTCGAAAAAAAAAACCAAACATTTCCGGTCTAAGTGAGGTTACGACCGTAAACTTGTTTACGGCCGTAAACCCGTTTACGGTCAGCAATGGGTGGACCCCCCACCACCGACCACAACACCCCTATATATACGAGACCTCCACCTTCATTAGAACATTTTTGGCCAAAAACTCTCTCCTTCTCTCTCTAACAACCGTGACCGTAAACACCTAAAAGCACCTTCAAACCTCGGGAAACATCGAGAAACACCGTTCGGAGTCGCATCGGAACGTCTGGAAATGCTTATCTCTTCGAAATCAGCACCATCGTTCTTGAGTTTGCGGTCCATCTTCAAAGACCATAAACCCTGTTCTTGAGTTTACGGTCCAAGCCTTCAAAGACCGTAAACTCTGTTCTTGAGTTTACGACCGTAAACTCACCAAGCCTTCAGAAACCGCAAACTCCAGTTTACGACCGTAAACTCTTGTTCACGGCCGTAAACACCTTTTAAGTGGTGCCTTTGACTGAAAACTCACTTTCATCGATTCGATCAAGTCCCGGTAACATTCCTCAACCGAATACAAGTGTTCCTCTAACACGTTATCTAACAAAATCGCTAATTTAGATACATATATGTATTTATTTGATAATAGGATTCCGTTAAGTGTCACGTGCAACAACTCGAGGATCTTCATTTCAGTCAACGCTTTCACACAACAACTGTGAGTTCATACCCCTACATTTTCCGCTATTTTAATGTTTTCAGGGGGGGGGGGATACAAGCTAAACAAATGTTTTCAAAAACTCATGCAAATCTCATACTTTAAATCCCTTTTGTACTATGCTGAGCATAAGGGACGTTTTCACTAAATTTGCATAGTTTTCCGGACACGCTATTCACTATGCATGCAAACTATAATCGGTATAGTTTGGGAATTTTTCTAAACATAACAAGTACAGAAACTTTCACTACTAAACATATGCTCTAAGACAGAAACAGTTTACAGTTTACATCACTACTTTATCATGGTATTCATAACTGTAATTATCACTATATACGGTATACATACGGATTTTCACTACGGTAGAACGCTACTACACTACATGTAAACTAGATTGTACTATACTGTGAGGCGCTACTTCACTGCTGTACCCTTAGGTGTACAGGGATAAATCCTACCATAGTATAACCAGAGTCTCCTGGAGGGAGAGCGTGAGATTTGTGAATAGATCTATTTGGGACTGACAATCCCACATCTGGACTGCTAGCTACAGTTAGGCGGGCACGCCTGAGATGTACAAATGTCATTTAACTTGACGCCTGAAGAACGTTGGAAAGGTCTCTAGTCATATCAAGCATGGTTATACGACTCACAATATGTATAAATCACCTTTAGTTTACAAATTAACACTCTTCAACAGTTTTATTTACATTAAATAGAACTAATGCACACTATAATTGGAGAACTTTCAGGGTTTTCAAACAGAAACGAGCATACAATCGTTTCACGCATGAAATACTATTACATCATGATTAGCATTAGCTAGTCACATGAAGTAATAATCACGCATAACACTATAGTTTTCAGTGACAAACATTCATGGTTTTATACAGAATTGAAAACACTAATTTCTCACTAAAGAAAATATCGGATTATCTTGGAACTATACAAATATTTTACGAACTCATCAACGATTTTCGATACAAACCACCGCTTATGAACTCACCAGCTTTATGCTGATACTCTTTCAAACTGCTTGTATTCTCAGGAAATCAGTAGACAGGTACTTGCTGGATTTTCGACGAACTGGAGCAATAAGAGTTTTAAGTTTATACTATACAAAGCTATTGAATGTAATTCAAACAAAGTTTCAGACAAAGTTTCAAACTGATGTAAACATTTTTATTTTAGTATTCGCTGTACTGGTTGAGTTGCTATGATTGCTATTATTCATTGGTTGTGATGCTACACATGACGTCCTCCGCCCCGGAACGTTTCCGCCATCGGTTTCGGGGTGTGACAGATTGGTATTAGAGCCCTTGTTTATAGCGAACTAGTATACCGAACCTTACGTGGTATACAACTATAAACACTAAGGGGCCTAAGTGCTCTACGCTAAAAGTATACTTTCAAAAATATAAGTATTTTATAAAAAGTA